CACCCCCTAGACTTTCTCACGACCCCCGAAGGCCCCGGTATCACGTCTAAAGCCCGAAGCAAGCCCCGGAGCCCCGAAATTCTCGAGAATTCATCCTCTCTCCTGTCGAAACTCTGCCCGGTTTTAGCCGGTTTTTTGTCAAACAAACTCTTTTCCGGGAAACGAAACGCTGCCTGAATCATCGTTTATCAAGGTGAGTTCATACCCCTATAATTTACATTTTTAATGGTTTCTAAATGCTTTTTAGGAGGGGGGGATACAAGTTTAACACAATATTAAATTGTGTTAATAACAGTATGTGATAATAATCACGCAAATAGTTTCCGTATGCTTTCAAGAATTACCAAATACATCCAAAATGACTTAAAGCCATGTTAAATCTTCAAAGTCATGTAAAATCCGTTAAATTATTTGAAATTTTTTTTATAAACTATTTCAAATTATAAATGCCAAAAATCATGTTTATATATGTATAAATATATAAATAAGATTTGAAGGACTTAGGACTAATGAATTATCTTATTTCCTTTTCCTTGTTTGGATGTGGAGTTAAGGTTGTGTTATTTGTCCGAAAGTCGTTTCCTTCTTATATATATATATATATATATATATATATATATATATATATATATATATATATATATATATATATATATATATATATTAGTATAAAAAGGTCACTCGTTTTGGTATCATTACCTATGTATCAGGCTGAGCAAAGGCGTTCATCCATGAGAAATCATGTTAACCAGATAGAGCATATAAATTATAATAGGTATAATTTATGATTCAAAACTAAATATACGAGTATGATTCACATTCCAAGGAAACTACCAAAACTTATTTAACTATACCAGGATATGTATAATGCCTTTAATATACGAATAACATATTAAAGAAGTAAAGATACATCATACCGGGTTTGCATTAACAAAGGTACAATACAGAGTACCATAGTTAGCAATCACGGGGTAATAATACATCATACCGGGTTTGCATTAACAAAGGTACGATACAGAGTACCAGGGTTAACAATCACGGGGTAATAATACATCGTAAATCTCGTTGAAACAATAAATTTGTGAGACCCTTCATGGTGTACTTGTTTAAGTATGACTTTAAGTCCTGGCCTATTAACCAGAATCTCTTGTAGGGAGAGCGTGAATTTGTGTATAGATTTATATGGGACTGACAATCCCGCACCTCTACTGTTCGCTACAGTTTAGCCGGCAAGCCTAGGGTGTCAAATATCATTCCATTCCGACGCCTGAAGAACGTCGCCGCAGGCATATCAGTCATATTAGTATGGTTAATAGATATCACATGGATAAAACAATGAGTGAATTACTAAGTAATATACTTCTCTTAAAACAGTAAGAAAAGATAATTACATCCTGACCAAATATACCTTCTGTAGTTTTTACTTACAGTAAAAGCTACGTATCATGAAATCAAGTATGGTAAATATACTTGTACTTCTGTTTTTGAACATTTAAAACCACAAGGCAGTATTATGGATAATATAATATTTTCCAGGATTAATACTAAGGTTTTTACCATAGAACATATATAACTAAGAATACTTTTACAAATGAAACGGTTTATGGAATTAAACCACTCTTTCAAAAGAAACGGTTATGGGATTTAACCACTTATACAAAGGAAACGGTTTATGGGATTTAACCACTTACACAAAGGAAACGGTTTATGGGATTAAACCACTTTTACAAATGGAATGGTTATGGGATTAAACCACTTTTACAAATGGAACGGTTGTGGGATTAAACCACTTTTACAAATGAAACGGGTTATGGAATTAAACCACTTATCAAATGAAACTTAGTCATTCAATATTTGTAAACTAGTATAACATAAAAGACCTTTAGTGGTTAATTCTATAAGTCCTTAGTTATTACATCAAAGTTATATATAAGTAATATACGATTGACAGTGAAATGTGTGACTTCCGCCTTACTTCCTGTTCCTTGTTTGGTTGTGGGCTTAGGGCAGATACACCCAATTCACTGTCAGTTCGATATTAGGTTATACATAATAAATATAAACTAAGTAATTACAGAGGGAAACTATTGAGGTTATCAGTTTATCACCTCAGGAAATATAGGATTTTCTGGAGGAACTAGTGAACTTTTTCGAAGAACCTAGAGTATACTTTACAGAACTAAAATACTTATGAACTCACCAGCTTAAATGTTGATCTACTCTTTTCAAATAACTTGTATTCTCAGGAATCCAGTAGACAAGTACACTCCCGAAGCTCTTGAGAAGACTACCTAGTACCGTACCACGACTCTTGTCTTCTACTATACCTACTTTGGTGTTTGAATATGTAATGTTTAAACACTTATGTAAAACTTATACTTATTAATGAAATGGTTGTTTGTACTTGGATTACTATATTGCATGTGTTGTGATACTTACATGAAGTCCTCCGCCCCCGAACGTTTCCGCCGTTCTGGTTTGGGGGTGTGACAAATATGCATGCATGTATGCATTATATGTTGACAATTTTGATTACGTTTATTCTCTGTAACCCTAAACGCCTCTACAGTCGAAGTTCTTAGTCGAGCTCTTATGAGGCGTTGAAGCATTAATCATACGACATATTCAAAGCCATATTCGTGTTTATATTTACGTTCATAATTGTTTGCATGCATAGAATCTAACGATCCTGATTGAACTAAGTTCTAACAATGATGATGTTTCCTTGCAATCTCCACCAATAAAACATATTCTTCTCCTTCTTAACTTATTCTTCAAGCTAGCAAATGCACCAAAAATTGCTAAGAATCATCAAAAGGGTTATGATTAGGGTTTCTTGAGGTTGGAGAGTGAGGAAGGCTAATAAAATTCCTAAAACATGAATCCTTACATTTAAATACCTTGAAAACCCTAAAAAAAATTGTGGGCTTGGGTTACACAGTTCTTACCTCGTGACAGCCTGCTTCTCACCTCATGAGAACATGGGTTGCACAGCTCTCTCTCTCTCTGTTTTCTCTCTCTCTCTCTCTCTCTCTCTCTTTGTAGTAATGGGAGCATCGAGTTTCTTATTCATCGTCCCAGAAGAGGAGTAAGGAAAGAGATCCATAACAATAAAATAATGAGGGAAAAAAGGAAAATGAACGGAAGAGAGAAGAAAATAAAATAAATTCGTGTTCTTGAGTTTATTAAAAGAATGAAGTGGAAAGAAATAAAATGATTACTTTCCCTCCTAACCTTCCTTCCAATTTGGAAGGATTCAGAGAGAAAGGAACATATATTTTAATTTTTCTTTCACTTTTCTCCAACTCAGGAATGCAAAATATAATTTTATTTTCCTTTTTTCTCTTTTTTTCTCTCCCTACTTTCTTTCGCCTTATTTTCTTTTGTTTATTAAAACTCAGGAATTAGGCGTTGGGATCTTGAATGAGAATCAAAACCAACAACCATTGATACTGAGTTGAAGTAATTCAAAGAAGGCAGAACATGCTCCGTGTAGAAGGAATCCATTGGTTGAGATCGATAACAACACTGTTGGATCTGATCAACCAAAAAAAACAGCACCACCACCTGAGAGAGAGTGAGAGAGAGAGAGAGAGATAGATTTCCACTATTGATAAGATTATCGAGTGAACATTTTAGGGAATACCTTTGTTGCTTCTTGAAACTACACAAAAGTGAAAACCATAACGATCATCGATGTGAAGAAGACAACTTAAAAAACCATTTTTATTGGATATGGAATCTGAGTTGGTATTAGTATCACTAACCTCACCTCCTACAACAACCATAGTATCCAGAAATCCCAAAATCTTTTCAAAAACCTCTTCGATTAAATCTAGAAATTAAAATGAAAGCTTATGATTGTGAGTTTGTATACTCTAATCTTCCAAACTAAACAAAATCCAGATGGATTCGAGAAAATTCCAATTAGTTGAATACTAAAATAATTGAAATTAGGCAAACCCAGAGAAAAAAATAATCCATGTAGTCTGTCCATAACAAATCCGACAAACTAACCAAAAAATAAGAAATTTTTTTGTGTGCAAAAAGTATATAGAACACATCCAGATTTTTGATATGATTTATAAAGAAACAAGTAAATTTTCAGTAATTGTCCTTTGACTATTTTTTGATTTGCATATTTTTATCATTTAATAAGCTTTTATTGATTTGTGTCCCTAAAATAACAAATATGCCGTCACATGATAATATATGACAAACTTAACTTCATTGATTTGTGTCCCTAAAAAGAGTTTTTAACCAAAATGGGGTTATTGAAAAAAATATTTACCAATCTAGTATAGTTTGAAAAATATTTTACAAACTAGTGTTTTTCTTTATTTTTTCTTTCAATATTTCTATTGTTTTTCTATTTATTTAAAATATCGGCCTTTTTACTTTTTTTATTTCAGTTTTTTTACTATTTATTGTTTTTAAATATCAGTTTATTATTTTATTTTTTTTGTTACAGCTTTTTTTTATTTTTTGTTTTATTTTTATTTAATATACATTTAACAATAAATAGTAAAAAAACTGAAATAAAAACTGAAAATAGAAAAACAATAAGAAATATTGAAAGAAAAAATAAAGAAAAACACTAGCTTGATAAATATTTTTCAAACTATACTAGATTGGTAAATATTTTTTTTAATAAACCCATTTTGGTTAAAAACTCAAAAAATAACAAATATAACCTCAAATGAAGAACATATGACAAATTTAACTCGAGAAAAATAACAACAATTAACGCCAGGAGATTAAATCTACATAGAACTTTCAATTTTGGACTCACTATGCGATAAAAAAAAAAATGAACTTAAAATTTACTTTACTTTTTGATAAACCACATAAACCAATTTTACAATTTACTTTATATTTAATAACCGAATGCAAGAATAAATTCACCTATTTTAAATATAATAATTCACAACGACCCCAAACAACCCACATTCTTTTCAACACAAGTGCAATGGCAAAAACCTAAGTCGCTTTCCTGGTGGATGAAAGCAAACGGAAAGCTTCAAAAGACTATTAGCAATGATAAACTTGACTTGGGTCAACCACGACTTGGTATTATATGCATAAAGACAAAAACGCTTGATTTTTCGTTGTTTTCTATATAATACAGTTGTAGATGTTATCATCTTGAAGTATAAACGAACGTTCATAATTCATGGTTTCAGCTTCCCATGGTTCATCCAGAGATTGCCTCTGCATAACTGTGAGTTATCAACTCTTTATCTACACTGTGCTACCTTCGGTTTGTAAGCTCATGCTTCAGTGTTTCTGTTCACCCGTTTTCTAGTTTTTTTTTACCGTTTTTCTTGTCTAAATGGTAGACTTCAGCTTTCCGGCGTTCATGAATAGTAGCATCCCGGTATCCCCCCATGTGCGGAATTTCGGTTATCTGCTTGTTTAGGCAGACCGAGAGCAAAAAAATAATCGATATAATTTTCTCGAACCCATCTGGTTTAGTTTAAGCGTTTTAAGGCATCAATCACCCACTGCTCTATATCACGATACACCTGTTAGTCTGGTCTTAATGTTGAGTATAAGCATGATAGCCAACTACTTTTGATCCAAACAAAATTCAATCTTCAGGTTTGATTTCAAGTCACTCTGTGTTTCGTTTCAGTTACTTATTTTCAGAATAGGTTTAGAGTTGTTTTTTACTTGCATCCACCACAAGTTCCCTTTCTTTTGTTCTCTTCATTGTTTACTTGTAGTAAAATTGTGACCCTAGTGCATCAAGAGCCTGTGGCTTTTAAAGAACTGAGTAGAAAAGCCCAAAAGACATTATTCTTAATTTTACAAGTACTGGTTAATTTCTGTGACTCTTGAAACATGACTCAGGTTTTATTTTGTCCAGATGGCAACTCAATGGACCGATACAATATATACTGGAGGTCTGGAGCTAATCGAACATGTTATGCAATTTAGACCTCAAACAGTAAGTTAAGTGCACTTTTACAAGCTTTTAAAATTTTTAATTAAGAAGCTTGAAAATCCATAAACATATACTCTGCATCCAACTTCTAATTCAACAACCCTTTTTACCTTACACCTGTCCCACCAAATATTTCAATGGTTGATCACACAAAATTTGATGCATGTTTTCAACAATATATCAAGTGTGTTACAACTTACAAGTCGTAAAAAATGGAACGATAAGACAATCATGTTGATCATAAGTAGTAGGGAAAATGACTTACGAGCCCAATGAAGTTTCTAAACCGTTCAAAAGAAACTCAATCATGTTTTGTCTGTTCAAAAAAACCCAACAAACTTAACCTTTTGTCTAAAAAACTTAACTAAGTTACACTTTCCTGAAAGTCAAATAAGAGAAACATATGGCATAGCTTATTACCGTATGGGGAAAATGACTTGTTAGACCAACGAAGTTTCCAAAACGTTTAAAAAACTCCAATCATGTTTTGACTGTTCAAAAATAATCCAACGAATTTAAACAAAACAAAATTGGGATTTTTTGAACGGTTTGGAACTTTGTTGGACTTTTTAGACAAAAAGTTAAGTTCGTTGGGGTTTTTTGAATACAAAACATGATTGAGGTTGTTTGAATGGTTTGGAAACTTAATTGGGCTTTTAATTCATTTTCCCTAAGTAGTAACTAACATAGTAGAGTAGTATTGAGGTTGGTCAGTATCTGAAAGATGGTCTCTAGAGCAATAGAGCACACACTACACACACCCGATGAAGGTCCACCTAGTGTGGGCTCTAATATTAGGTGTTAGATTTTCACCTCACTTACTTACATTGTTACAACTAATTATGTGTGAAATTGCTCTCTCCTTGAGTAGTAAAACAGTCTCTTTGTAAAAATGAAATTGGAAAGGTGTTGTACATTAACTATATTCCTAGATATAACTTTGAAAAGATTGAATCAGTATCACCCACTATAACATTACACATTCATGACTTTTTCACTTACGCAAGACATATTTAGAAACCCAAGAGTAAAAATTTCTGAAAGAACATTATTATTATACAAGAAAATTTTGAACAAAAAAATATGAAAATGGGATAATTAATGTACAAACAGTGAATGTGTGCCAACATAGCCAGAAAGGCACAACTTTTTCATTTACAAAAATAGAAAACAAACAAATAGAATTGTTAATCTACATAAGTATTAAAGCAAATGAAATGCTAATCCCAAGTTATGCCTATGAAACATTGAACCTAGCTCTTGCATGGCCATGAGTTACCTGGAAATGCTCTGTCATTCCTAAGTGTGCCATCAAAAGCCAAACATGAGTCAGAAATTCTCCCCCTCTCCCAAGCTGCTGTGAATGGTGGAACACTCTGCAATGAGCAGCTGCATACGCCAGAATCTCAATCCATACTTGACTCATCACTTTCCACATTATCTCCCTGTTTTTCATCTTTCTCAAAGCTAATGCAAGTCTACAACCATCAAAGAGTACAGATTTGGATTGATCCCCTTTCACTATACTAGGCAACAATTCCTCACAACTAACTTCAAGTAATTTTCTGCAGGCATCAGATATTTCGGTAATAGGGCTTTTCATTTTGAAGAAACGAATGGCTTCAGCACATGTGTCACGATACCTGATCATGCCGATACCTATTGGCAGAATTTCAGGGTTTGAAATTAAAAGATTCACCAGATACTCAGACATGTTCTTACTTTCTATGCGGTTGATTTCTAATTGATCACTACTCTCAGAGTAGTAACAAAGAGCAGTAGCGATGTGCCAGATAAGAATGCTCTGATCGAATTCCACTTCATTGATGCTCCACAAAAGAGTTCTCATCCCATTCTCTTCGAGACAATAGCTTCCTTTGTGAATGCATAATCCTTTTGGATCAGAACTACGCTCCACAAACTCAAGAAACTGACTGTAAATCATATCCTTCAGATTGGGAGAAACCTCGATATATGTCTCGTATCTTTGCTTCTTCAGAAACTTATGTACCCCGAACAATTTCTGATTTAAAAAACAAGTAGGGTTCTCCTTGAGTGCGACACTTAGTAGGTTTGACTGTCCAATGGAGTTGGACCACCTTTGTTTACTCGGTTGCTTCAAGAATGAAAATATAAGGTTGTCGTGAGTATGGTTCTGCTGTTTAAACCAGATATCAGCCCAATCTGAATGGAACATGGTAATATAGGAAAAGATTTCTTTTGAAAATTCTGCTGCAATTACTAAATAACTAATGACAATGTCAATGACTAGGTAATGGTCCGTATCACTGTGAAAATGGAAGCCAACAAGTACTAAGAGAAGGAGAAGAACACCAATAGCACGAAGTATGAGGCCCTTATTTGTATAAAGCACACTTGCCTTTGTGTAAAGCATATCATATACAAATCCAAGTTCAATCTCCACAGCACGGAAAACTTCACAAGCTGAATCAAGATGCTGAAAATACGATGTGCTTCTATCCCTATCTTCGTATGTGAGTATAAGACCAACAAAAAGACGCTTGAATGTTTGGAATAGATTGTATGCTTCGAATATTTCTTCACGCCCAGTTTGGGAATATGCACGAATAGTTGGAAGAGCATTCTCCAAAACCTCCTCAACCTTCACAATGAAACCCTGTGACTTTTTCAACAGAAATTCCTCCAGGAATTTGACATAATCAGGACCCGGGTCAGCAGGACCAAGCATTGTCTCTCTGAGATGCTCAGTGTTTGCTAACCTTAGAGCCTGAACACGTTCAAAACACTTGATGCAACCGGATGCATAAACCAGTATGCTTAGCAGGGGGAGATGAGAACAACCTGGCCAAGACAACAAAAGGATATATAAAGCTACTCCTGATTGGAACAGAAGAAAAACCAAATGTCTTAACCAAAGATCGTTGTCTTCCAAGGAGTAAGCAGTAATGGTGTCTGCACCACCAAGGTGAAGAAAGAGAAACTGTGCCCAAAAACCCATGAGCTCACGTGTGTTGGATCTGTGATGTTTTGAAGCAGGATGAGATTTGTTGCATGATTCCAAGGCACTTTGGGCAGTAATACTAAGGGCCACTGGGACAATGGCGTAAGCCAAAAAGTAAACACACCAAAGAGTGATTCTGATTATAGTCTTTGGATTGTATTTCCGAAGGTTTCCTAAAATACTTAAGATGATCTGCAAAATAAGGCTGGTGGGAACCAATACTTGTAGGACGTGCTCATTCCATGTCCTTTTAACATCATTTGGTATCACCTGAAATTTCATCTGATGTTCAAGCATGTTCAAACCTGTAAAACGAAAATAAGATAAAAAGATAAGAAAGCAAGCTACAAGTTTGATGTTGATGGAGGAGTAGGAGACCATGGTATATTTAATACCAAAGTTGATGTCCAACAAACATTTTATAAGCATACCATGGAGGAAGAAAGAAGCATAAAGAAAAAGTAAAATGTTAACTAACGAACCAAAAGGCAAAACATACCGGTGGCAGTCATAACCCAACTGGATCCTTAAAAGAAATTCAAATAAGAAAAGTGTCAGTAACCAAAAATCCTAAAGTAGATTCTTGATTTTGTCTTGAAGGGAACTGATCACTATATATATACAAAAAGATGAGATCTCCATTAGTATGTAAGTTGTATGTTTTTCTGGTAACAAAGAAAACACCACTATAATTTCTTGGTAAAGTTTTGCAAAAAGTTATGTAATTTGTACTTAAATTTTCTAGCAAGAGGCTCTTGGTCAGACATATTTAGACGTAACATATTGCCACACATAAGGGGACATGTTTTTTTTTTACTGTTCATGAGGTTATCTTCTATGATGTTTCAGGGAAATATTCCCTGAAATGCAACCCTTTCGTGACTTTTGAAATAACAAATTTTCAGACCCCTGAGGCTGGTGTGGTAAGGATGGGGCACTGGAGGAGGTGTGTATTACCATCAACTAGAAATAAGCAGAAACTTTCTTATGATTTCATCAATTAGTTTCAAGGTTTTATTTCTTTCATATTGTATTTTTCCTATGAAATAGAAGTTGGGCCCATCGATTTCTCCTTGCCTTGAATTTTCTTGATCATTTCATCTATGAATAGTCTGACTACACATGAAACAATCAGTTTCCTCTGGCCTTAAATGAAATTACCCTGTTATAGAGACTGAAACTTCACATCAAATACATTATCATTTTCACAATATACAACTTCATATTTAAGGATTAGTTTGGCAAGAAGTAAAAAGGGAAAGGTATACTGTGAATATTATAATTTTGTTTTTAATTTTCAGTCTGAGATAAATAAATTGGCAGGATATATGACACAGAGCCTTACTCTCATGTAGTACCTCTTTCTTCTGTCCTCCATTCTGTTAGTATACATTTCAGCAATTCCATATACTTCAGGGTTACTTTGGCATCTATCCATAAGTATTGGTAGCTTCTATATTTATTCATAATTAATTAGGTTTATATTATTGTATCTTGTCATGGGATGTATATGCTTTCTTCTTCAATTTAATACAATCAGAGATCAATCAATTCTACATATCGCTCCACCGTATCAACGTTTCATCTAGTACAATTTTTCATTAAAATTACATCATGAGCATATCATTTCAAACACGTCCCACGTCTGTTTGTTAATGCGCCAAACACCTCCAATCTTATGGAATTACTTCGAATAAATCAAGAGTTAATACAACTCCTCTAAGACTTTTAATGGCAAGTGCATGCCACCCATTTTTGATGTGACAAACACTTCCAACCCAATGAAATTTTTACAAAGAAATCAAGAATCAATCCAACAACTCACGACACGTTCAATGAGTGCTCATGACTTCTCATCATCATCGGGTAACAGATTGATGGTTGATTATGGTTGTTTTAATCATATGACACCATACTATGACTTGTTATTAGTAGCCAGTAACAAATATTAAATGTGGAAAAAGCCTCCTTAGTGAGGGAGTTGTACACTTGTATGGCATGATATATGTAGTATAAAAAGTTACAAAAGGGGTCCCTATACTACACAAAAGGTCATAAATGACATGATTTAACACATACCTTCATTTTGCACATGGAGTTTACAAATGTTTAAAGCTGAAAATTTAAAAGCAATCAGGTATGAAGATCCTTTGTGAATATATCCACAAACCGGTGAGTTGATAGCACATGCAAAACATGCATATGTCCAATGGCAACACATTCCCAAACAAAATGTAAATCTATTTTAACATGCTTGGTACTTTGATGGTGTATAAGGTTAGAAACTAAATACATGGCACTCATATTGTTGTAAAACACAACCATTGCTTTATAATGGACAAGATAACTCAAGAAGGAGATTGTGAAGCCAAGCAGATTCGGTAACCACATTGGCCACCAGCGGTACTCAGCTTAGCAGAGGATCAAGAGACAACATGCTGACATTTGGAAGACCACGATATGAGATTATTGCCAAGATAAACACATAACCTAGAGGTGAACATACAATTGTGAGGACGATCAGCCCAATCAACATCATATGTACCGAAGGATCCGCTTGAGATCTAAGAAGACGAGGTTCATGTGGATCATGCATATATATAAGCAAATTTGTTAAACATTATAAGGAATATCAAGATGAGTGAAACTTAGATACTACAAAACACCTTCATAGCTTTGGTAAGGTGTGAGATAAGCAACATAAGGACCTTTGGGAACTGTCTGAAGGAGTAAGACACGGATTGCATAAGAACATGTGAGCACGAGAAATAATTTTCTTGGCAAAGAACGTTTGAGATAATATATATATATATATATATATATATATATATATATATATATATATATATATATTATCAGTCTGTGAGGCAACAATTCCAAGAAAGAATGAAATAGAGCCTAAACATGTTAGGGGAACTGAAGATAAGCGAGTAATGACACGGGAGATGAAAGAGGGGGATGAGGAGGTAGTGAGGATGATATCATCAACATAGAGGAGAAGATAGATATGCCTAGAGCGGAAGTGATAAGCGGAAATAGAACAGTCAGATATGCCTAGAGCCGGAGTGATAAGCGGAAAGAGAACAATCAGAACGATTGTTTCTAAAACCAAAAGAGATGATGAAGATAACAAAACTTTGGTAGCAAGAACGGGGTGCCTTCTTAAAGCCATATATAGCCTTTCGTGGAGACATATACGATTCAAAAGAGTATGATGAACATATCCAAGAGGTTGTTTCATGGAAACTTCCTCAAACAAATCACCATGCAACAAAGCATTTTTGACACCTAACTGGTTGATGGGCTAATTTTTAGATATCATAACGCTTAGGATGGTGGCAATTACCATATGTTCGACAAGAATACTAAAGGTGTCATCGAAGTGAAGGCTGAGAAAATCCATGAGCCACAAGATGACCTTTATACTAGTCGAGTTATAGTTTAAAGTAGAGGGACTAGTTTTTCTAACTTGGAAACTATTTTACCAAGTGTTGACTAGTCATGGTCTTTATGAAAAAACAAACGTGTTTTAGTGGTATAAGTAAATAACTGATCGAAGTTCATTTAAAATATTTAGTCAAATGGTGTCATATATGAGATATATGAAAGTGTATGACAAAATATGCTAAATATTGAAAACTAAAAGCTAGTTATTCGGTCTTCTCCTTTATTTGATAGAGATCTAGGGCTTGTAATTGAAGAGAAGGAGTTCACATTCAAAGTAAAACATGTTCATTAGTGAATTGAGGTATAACCTTCTCCAATTTCTCTAGAAATCAAACCTAGGGTTTGGGTTGAGCCCAACATCTGAAAATGGTAATTAGATTATTGATAGATGTTGAATTCATTGATGGTTTTGATATTAGAACTCCCAATATAATCACATCCAATTTGTTTTTGATGAAGCTTTGGTTGATATTTTGAGCTTCAAGCTCCATTAATGGTGGAAATTCTCTAGATATTGGTTTAACTGGGTTTTGGATGTTTGAATTACACTCTAGAACACCATGCGATTGCTAATTTATCCTTAAATGATTGCAGTTCATCAAAAAATGGTGGAAATAGGTGATTCAAATTCTAGGTTCATGTATGGTTTATACCTTGGCAATGATGAGTTGTAATCTAGCCAATAGTTGTAGAATTAGATTTATGTAACGCCCGCATATTCGGGCTAGTCAATTTAGAGACAATGAGCATCAAAAATGAGTTTTTGATGGTAGATTAGTTAGAAGGAGTAATCTTAACCAAGCTATAATATATGTTACAAGGGTTCCGTACATATAAAGAACACCAAAATCCGAGTTATAACGAAGAAGTTATGGTCCGTCGAAGTTTCGCGACAAAACCAGCACGATGCTGTGTGACGTAAATATTGAATTTACGATAGAGGACTTTTTAGCCTTATTGATCTAAATGAAAGTTGTAGTATACGTTAAAACAAGAGCGTGCATAAAAAGAACGCCCAAATTTGACTTCATATGAGGAAGTTATAATTTTTCTAAGATTTGGCATAGCAGTGCACAGCCCGAAATTCGAATTTTAGATCGATCGATTTTTAGCCAACGCAACCTGAATGAGAATTTAAGATCTCATTAATAGGAACTCAACGATAAAAAGACAGACAAAAACGGAGTCTGTATATAGAAGTTATGAATTTTACGCAGTCATTTAACAGTATAATCTTCTCATACTGTCAACTTTAAAATTGGTCAAGAATTAGTCAACAGAGTCAAAAGGAAATGTGTAGATTTTGTCTTTACCTACGCGTGGATATAAAGAATGTCAAAAGTGGAGTTTGTATGCGAAAGTTATGAATTTTAAAGATTGGTTGTTTTACCTACGTCCGGCACCACGTGTCAGCACCGGACTTCGCCTTGGAGCCTACGCAAGGCTCACGAAGTGAGCACCCTTTCTCATGACATGAATCGACCCAGACAGCCTATAAATAGAGGCGTAAATCACCCCCAAAACTCACACCAAAACCATTCTTTTTCTACCATTACCCCCAAACCTCTCTTCCCTTCCCTAGCAACATCTAAGTGCTAAAGGCGAGTCCCGGAGTGCCGGAAGGCTCCGAGAAGAAGAGCTTTCGGCTCGGAAGTTCTGCCACTGCAGAGTCCGGCTCCTAGCCAAACCCCCTTGTAAGTGAGATACGCTTACCCTACCTTAAGTAAAGCTTTTGTTTAAATATAGTAATGTTATTAGGACCTTATAATAAATACTTTGGCTATTATTATTAGTTATATAAGTGTCGTTATAATATCTTTTTAACCACTCGCAGTACGGGGAATCTGGTTTGAAAGGTCGCTTGGGTTGTTGGATTTCAGAAGCGTTATATGCCAAAATGGTCCTACCCTTCGGTGTTTCATGTCTAACCCCTGCCTGTACATAGTGGGAGAAGAGTATTGTTTTAACGCTTATATAATAGTAATAATACCAAGACTATTAATTAGTCTCGTCGAACATTAGACTAAACTCTAGTGGTAATGATACTAGGTTTTGTCAAAGGAAGTTGTTTTACGTAAACGGAGTGTTGTCCGAGTACCGAGTCACCACCTTATCAGGTGACTGCATAGTTACTTTCATCTTACACATACATATGAAGTATTTTATATAAATTATGTGTTATATGTGCATATTATTTGTATACTTGCTATCTATGTTGGATGAACGATTTTATACATGTTTTAAATGATTTACATTGTATATGTATTTATATCTACAAAATATGTTGGGTAAACACATGGGTAGATGAATGATGAAAGTTGATATACAGGAACATTAACAGTATGGACATAGTACCCTATAGGTGAACATTGGCAGTAATGGACTTAGTACCTATAGATGAGCATTGGCAGCTGCGCCACAACCTGTAGACGTTTTTGATGTACGATGTACTCTAAAAATCCTAGCAGTTGCGCTCTAAGGATAGTATCAGCAGCTGCGCCTAATGGAGAACATCATAACCATGGTAGTTGCGCCTAAAGGACAATACTGATAGCTGCGCCTCATAGAGAATGTCACAATTCTGGCAGCTGCACCTAAATGATAATATTAGCAATTATGCTTGATAGTTGTGTCATTGGCAACGATGGACTTCGTTCCTATTCCTTAGGATAATCCTTACGAATGAATGAACGAGGAATAGTTGATTATTAAGGTAGATCCTAAAGAGTAAAGAAGATAATGGGGATGGGTAATTGGGTTGATTGTTTGATGTTTAAATATAATAATTGTATTATTATGGGTTGAAACCCTATGTACTCACCAGGTTTCCAACCTGACCCACTCAAGCTTATTTGTATCACAGGTGTCGATATGAACGTAAGTTCTGTTTATGCTTATGTTTATGTATTGACGATAACATCCCAAGGTTTTGAAAATGAATAAAAAAATAAATTTCTTCAGAAATGCTTTGATAACATATTTATCATGTTTTTATGTGAACAAATTCCGCAACATTTTTATTAAAAGAAGTAC